TAGAGTTTACTATGTTTGTTGATGCATCTCATGCTGCTAACGTTGTTACTCGTCAATCAAGAACAGGAGTATTGATCTTTGTTAACAAAGCTCCTATTATCTGGTATTCGAAAAAGCAAAACAGTGTTGAGACAAGCAGTTTTGGTTCTGAATTTCCTGCTCTAAAGACAGGTGTTGAATTACTTGAGGGACTACGATTAAAGCTCAGAATGATGGGCGTCCCAATCCAAGGTTATTGTCATACTTGTGTTGACAATATGTCCGTTGTCAAGAACTCAAGTGTTCCTGAATCTCAATTGAAGAAGAAATCAAGTCGCATATCACTACGTTCGCTCCAGATGCGCAATTGATATCCTATAATTTCCTCTGAGAACTTGGCCGACGTTTTAACCAAGATTCAACCTGGAACCGTTTGTGACCGTCTTATGGAACATATCATGTGGAAAGCAAGGCATAATGGAAAACTTGCTCTTTTGATTTAATTTTGGAAACGTCTTCATCTGTCGCCGGATATTGTCAGTCTTGGACAATATTGGATGATACGTCCTCCCAAGAGGGGGTACGGTTGATATTAGCCCAATTCGGAGTACAAGGTTCTCTGATACATCAGTATCACCTTGACGGGACCGTTAATTGGACCAGAGAGTGTCTGTCATTCATACATTTAGATAGTTTAACCTAGAGATTCGCACACATCTTGTAAAATCTGAACTCTACCCAACCGACCGTATAGAAAGGTTTTGAAAGAAATGAAGAAGAAGAATTCCTTATTCCGGCGGCACAAGGCATGCAAGGACCGCCGCACGTAAGAAGCTACAAGACTGGATGTGCCAGCGAGAAATGACCGAATTGAGTGACTTGAGCTCCACCAAAGGCACACAAATCAGTCCAACTTGGAACTTGAGCAAAACACATCCAGACTCCAGCAATAGGTAGAAAATTTTTAACTGCTAGGGGGGAGAGAGTGATTTTTAGACAAGATTCTAGTGCCAGTTGAACCGAGGAGTGCCACCACCTGCCATGACAAGTATACCCGGATTCTTCACACGTGTCTTCTCGCCAAACACCAAACGGACAGGCCGTGGTACTACTGTACCAGTAGAGACTGTACATTCCGACGCATCCAGCGCTGGAGCCAGCAGGGCCTCTAGCCGGTCTCGTCATTATCATTTGACGAGAACAGCGTCAGCAGCGCCCATGTCACGCCCGGCGAAGTATCGCCAGATTCAAACCAGATCTGCCAAAAGTGATGGCGACAACGAGGAGCAAGATTTCAATTCCGACCATGATGCAACATTGTCAGATGGAGGACCCAGCAGAAACCCAAGAGGACCAACGCCAGACACAGAGCCAGAAGACACTGCACCAGAAGACACAGAGGCAGAAGCCAAAGAGTCAGCAGAAGAAGAGGAAAGAGAGGTCCCACTCAATGCATGGGTCCATCTCACTCATGAACATTGCCGTGCCGTATGCACAGGACCGACCTCCAATAGTAAGAAGGACCGGATTATCTGTGGGAAACTCAAGACCAAGTGCCGGCTGCACCGCGTCTTGAGAGAAGAAGGACACCGGGCCAAACCTATGTGGTATGAGGGAATTGTCTCCACCAAGGACAAGAACACCAACACTGGGGATTACATCATCCACGGTCGACAGGATGGTTTCAGCCGATCTGAAGAGAAAATGGACAAGAGCCTTAACCGGGCAACAGGATTAGAGGACGAGGAGTCTCCTTCTGAAGATGAAGAGGGACCCGAGGACACTGACCGCAAAGAAACAGACTTTGAAGCAACAGATTTTGAAGCCAGTGAGGGAGAGACAGAAGGCCACCTCAACGAGGATCCCGAGGCCGATGCTCTCCAAGAGCTTAACGATAAGATCGCTCTGATGGAAAGAGAGACCCAACTGTTGAGGCTGAAGGCGGAACGTGCTAAACTAGAAGCTGAGTCGCCCAAGACAAAACCGACCCGCAAAGGGAAGCAGGCCACTCCCAGCAAGAAGGCTCGAGCAACAGCCCGCAAACAAACCCCAATCGCCAGAAAGAAGAAGTTGAGGAAGAACAAGCCTCCTCCTAAACAAGTGTCCATCGAAGAGGGCAACAACACTTCCAAATCCCCTTCCAAGCCAACTGCCGCCACCGCGAGAAAATTGGACCCAGAACTGTCAGCCACCACCACTACCGTACCATCTGTCTTCGACACAGTGCTACTGAAGATCCAACCATTCTTCGCCAAGCTCCAGGAATCCACAGAGAAGATGGATCGCATGATGGAGCAGCAGGCCCTACAAGAGAACCAAACCCCTTCAACTACTGGAACTCCTAATATGTTTCCCATGGGATCTACCAACCTACCTACCGCCAACGGCCACTACAATGCCATGACCATCGAGGGAAACGGACCAGCTCCTCCCACTCTACGTACCCAAACACCACCAGCAATAATTACACCGACCAGACCTACTACCTACCAAGGGCCCATTCCTACCTACCAACAAGATGGGTCCAAGGGTGACAGTGACAAGATCCATGAGATCGAAATCACCAGTGTTGAGATTGATAAGGCAATGATGCCGGAGGCCATGACCAAAAATGCGGAGATCAACGGTACCTATGATAGAGCGGATGATATTGCGGCGTTACCAGGTAAGACTTCACCCGGTGGAGGAGACAGTGAAAGTGGTAGCGGAGTTAGCGAAGATGTGCTGACTCGACTCGCGGAGACTTTGGGCTCCGACAACTCC